AGCGTAGCATCCGCGGGTGACAGCATCGCACCTACTTCGCAGGTGCTCGCAGACGGTTGGTGCGACGTGCACCGTCACGTGCACGGCGCCGCTGCCAAGTCGTCCATGTGCCTTTGTCTGCACCTGATGAGCCAAGTTGACCTCGAGTACCACTCCGAGGTCGACTTCGCTAGAATATCCTGGGCGGTGGCCGCACACCCCCGCAGAACCTCGTCGCCCAAGTAACTTGGTCCACCGGGACATCACCAAGTCGGCGTCGACTTGCGCGGCAGTAGTCGACCAAGTGCTGTACGTGCTCGTCGACTACCCAGGTCGACGGCCACCAGCCGACTTCACGAAGTCGGCCATTTCCCACGTTGACCAACTACAACTCAACCACACCAGCTGCTCGCCGACTTCTCCAAGTCGGCTTCCCCAGGTCGGCGCCCACAAGTCGGCGCCCCTCCTAGGTCGACAGGTTTCATCGTTGACCACCACGAGGCTGGTCGCCGACTTCGCAAGTCGGTCTCCCAAGGCCGGCCTCCCAAGTCGGCCTCCAACCAGGTTGACGAGTACCTTCGTCGACCACCATATTAAAGTCTGCCGCCGTATTCCCATCGCCGGCGGCTTCACAGTGGCCCCGTGCAGGTCGACCAACCATTTCGACCTGCTCGCCCAAGTCGGCGTCGCCCACTGCAGTCGGTCGGCTGCACCTCCCGCCAACCCGATTACGAAGTCGGCTCCGTCCAAGCGAGGACGGGGCCAACGCCCAACTCCTGTTGACACGGATGGTACTAAGAGTAGGTGCGTCACTTACCGATATGAACGGTACGAAGACTAGGTGCGTTACTTGTTATATGATGCTATCATTCGCATTCACGTCTGTCTGCCTCCTATCCTATCTTTCTACCTTGCATGCGTGGTATGCGCGTGCATAAGAGTTTGTGTTTGGTGTGGTTTGGACTTTGTGGATGTGTGTTTATTTTATTCTGCTTGAGCAGATATTTGAAATGACTCTTCTGCTCAAGACATTTTCGACGAACCAAGATTTGACGCGATCGGAGCACGGATGAGAAAGTTACGAACGTTCGAAGTTCCTATGCTTTTCATATTTGGTTGCGGCGACTTTGGGAATTGTTAGAGTGACTCAATATGGGGTGTAGACTTTTGGGGGTTGGGAAAATTCGTCACTTCTACTGTAGATGATGCCAAGTGGTTGGGAGAAGCCAAACCAAGCTGGCAAGTGTGGCCAAGTTGGGGTGAGGTGGATTTGGGAGGTTGGGATAGTGACAAAGGTAAAAGTGGGGTTCCTATAGGGAGGGAATCCTTTGTGCTAATGGGGTTTTCTTGGTTGGGACTCCCTATGAACCTTCTCTCTCGTCCTCCTCATCCACTCCTACCTGGTTTCTAGCAACTCCAATTCTCTTGTGTGGTTTTTGGATAAACGTTTTTGGAATTGAGTAAAGTTTCAGCTCTAGCATACCCCCTAGTGCCCCGAAATTCATAACTCGAGAAATACTTCACCGTTTCATGCAATTCAAACTGCGAATTAGAGCCACGGTCTAGTGCTACAACATATCCGGCATTGGTGATATTTTAAAGGTGCACTTTTCATCGACGGCGTTTCTTGTGGAGTCGACATTTCTGTCCAGAAACTTAGTCCAACGATTTTGAGTTATTTCGGCCCATAATCTTCCTAGACTCCGTCTTTAATCTCAAACATTACTTACCCATATGGACGACACTAACAATAAGTGCGTTATCTACCCATACTGATGGTACTAAGAATATGTGCGTTTCTTACCCATAATGATGGTTCTAAGAGTAAGTACATTATTAACCCATACGGATGGTACTAAGAGTATGTGCGTTACATACTTATACGGATGGTACAAAGAGTAAGTGCGTTACTTACCCATACGGATGGTACTAAGAATATTTGTGCTACTTACCCATACGGATGGTACTAAGCGTAATGCGTTACTTTCCCATACGGATTGTACTTCGAGTACTTACCTTTACTGATGGTACTAAGAGTAAGTGCGTTACATACGATATGGATGGTACTACAACTACGTGCGTTACATACACATACGGATAGGAATAAGTACGTTACATACCCTCACGGATGGTACTAAGAGTAAGTGCGTTACATACCTATACGGATGGTACTAAGAGTAGGTACGTTACTTACCCATATGGACGGTACTAACAGTAGGTGCGTTGATTACCCATACTGATGGTACTAAGCATCCGTGCGTTACTTACCTAAACGGATGGTACTAAGAGTAGGTGCGTTACTTACCCATACGGATGGTACTAAGAGTAACTGCCTTACTTACCCATACGGACGCTACTAAGAGTCAGTGTGTTCCTTACCCATATGAATGGTACTAAGAGTAATTCCGTTTTTTACCCATACGGATGGTACTAAGAGTAATTCCGTTTTTTACCCATACGGATGGTACTAAGAGTACCATCCGTAGCTTCTTTTCTGCTATTCTACTAGCAGTTGCGTTTTTGGGTCCTCTTAAATTAGAAACAATACCTAATGGTCCTGAACCTTTTGTAGAATATGTTTTGGAATTTATCCGAGATTTTGCTAGAACACAGATTGGAGAAAAAAAACATCGTTCATGGGTACCATTTTTTTGGTACTATGTTTTTGTATATTTTTGTTTGTAACTGGTTTGGTGCTCATTTCCCTTGAAGAGTTATTGAACTTCCACACGGAGAGTTGGCTGCACCAACAAATGACATTAAGACAACCGAGTGCATTCGTTACCCATACTAAGAGTTAATGCGTGACTTACCCATATGGATGGTATTAAGAGTAAGTGCGTTACTTATCCATACGGATGGTACTCAAAATAAGTGCGTTACTTACCCATACGGATGGTATTAAGAGTAGGTGCGTTACTTACCCATACGGATGGCACTAAGAGTACGTGTGTTATTTACCGACGGAAGGTACTAAGGTAGGTACGTTACTTACCCATTAGGAGGATACTAGCTGTAGGTGCGTTAATTACCCATACTGATGGTACCAAGAATTTGTGCGTTACTTACCTAAACGGATGGTACTAAGAGTAGGTCCGTTACTTACCCATACGGATGGTACCAAGATTAAATACCTTACTTACCCATACGGACGCTACTAAGAGTAAGTATGTTACTTACCCATACGGACGGTGCTAAGGATCGTTCCGTTTTTTACCCATACGGATGGTACTAAGAGTAAGTGCGTTACTTTCCTATACGGATGCTACTAAGAGAAAGTGCGTGACCTACCCATATGGATGGTACTAAGAGTATGTGCGTTAATTTCCCATACGGATTTTTCTAAGAGTAATTGCTTTATTTATACATACGGATGGTACTAAGAGTAGGTGCGTTAAGTACCTATACTGATGGTACTAAGAGCATGTACGTTACTTACCATACGGATAGTGGTGCTCATAATCTGTCATTTTGAGATTCTACTACGAAATCAATTCTCAACTAAACGCAAATCCGCTCGGTAATATCGCGCGCCTCAGGCTTAGCTACCAGCTCCTATTTGAATCACTTAATAAGATGGTCTAGAGAGTGAGAACCACTTGAAAACGTCTAACAGCTGCATGACTAGAATGGTGGAGGAAGTACAAGGATTAAGGGATAGAATGTTGGAGTTGGGAACTCCAAGAGAACCATGAGAGGGGAGGGGTTCTCCAAGAGTTAGAGAACGATGGTGGGAACCTTCCTAGCAGCAAGGATGCAACCCTCACCAATGTAGTTGGATTTTGCCTAGGTGTTGCAACATTTGCAACCAATTCTAGCCACCCCAATCCAAAAGTCAAAGTTGCCTTCCTAACCACCCAACCAAAGATCACTTTATAGTCATGTCCCGATAATCGCCCAATGTAGAAATATCTCAAAATGAGATAGAATTCCCAACTCTTTGAAATCTTGTAACTTGGGCGATCTTAGTCGGAATATGGCGATATTGGTATCGTTGGAAAGCTCTGGATTTCTCCTGCATGATAAAACATGTAGACTTGGAGAAAAACACAGAGATGATAAAACCCAACAGCCATGCATAATGACATGTGCTCATGCACATAATGCAAGCACAAGTGGCACGTGCACTCGACAGGACGTTAGGATGACATGCACTAAAACTGACATGCATTCAACAAACTCACCCTCAGACTAACGGACGGCATGCACACACACTCACACGCATACAAACTTTCATGCACACAATCATGCACGCACTCATAACACTGCTGCCCACACTAGTGCAATGCCATGCCACACATCTTAGCACACTTCCAATGTGCGCTCTCGGGAAGTCTCTTAGTCAGAAAGTCTGCCGCCTGCTTGCTGGTCTTCACATGATGAAGCTCAATAATCCCCTCCTTCACCATCTGCCTCACCTAGTGCCACTTGATCTTCATGTGCTTGTACATCCCATTTAGGATAGGATTAGTGGACATGCCGATAGCAGCCTCGCTGTCGGAGAATGGTGGTGTAGGTACCTCCTGTTCAGCTCCCATGTCCTCCAGCAGCTTCCTCAAGAGCACAATCTCCTTGATGGCATGGTACATCGCCATGTACATTGCCTCTGTCGAAGACTGAGCAATCTCACTCTGCTTCTTGGACCTTCAGCTCACTGGTCGACCTCCGACCATGCAGACAAAGCCACCCACAGACGATTGATCTTCCTCCTTTGAGGCCCATGTAGCGTCGGTGAAGCACGACAGCTTCAAGGTTCCAGGCGTGATTCCATCTGCTCCAAACTGTTTCAGGTGGCGTTCATCCGAGGTAGCGCACCATGCGCTTTGCCACCTCCAACTGCTCCTCAGTGGGCCGCTGCACAACTCTGGCTAGCTGCCCAACACCGAATGAAGCATCAGGTCGCGTATGTACAGCAGCATACATCACACTCCCAATGAGTGATTGGTACTCATTCTGCCACTCATCTTCGAGTACATCATCCTCCTCAGCTGCCTTCTTCAGTTTGGGAGACGGTGGTTCTGATGGCAGATGCTTCGAGAACGGGGACGGATGAGGAAAGAGTGTATGGGGAAGAGGAGGAGACAGGTGTGGCGTCCGTCATTGCCGGTGAGGAGGGGACGCCCTGTGTAGGAGCCCATGGATTGTTTGCCGAGGGGACAACCATTATTGTTCTGTCTACGGCACCACGCGCAGTAATCGGTCAACCCACCACCTCCCCTTTTTCGCCGTCGACTCCTTCTTCGGGCACGTTTGTTTTCACTAGTCCTGGTGGCGTGGCCATTCCTGCCTCGTGGGCGCGCACCGGCCCTCGCACCCCGCACCATGGGGCCACGAGCAACGTTCCGTGAAACTTGCCCCTCGGTTAGTGTTGTGTTTTGATCTCGCGAAATTTGATATTTTTCTAATTATGATAATGACGTCATGTGTGTAAACTTTCCTTACGCACTACTACTCTCCCCACCATAGACGACACATCGCCACCGGGACGGGGTTAGCGGTCTTTGCGATGATGTGTGCGGCCCGTTCAGACGTCCGCGAAGAGTACCCTCTCGGTACGAACAATGATTTTGCATTCTGTTCATGCTTCCTCAAGACTTGGTACTAGTATTCTCAGAACCTTGCACATTGCCCAACGTATTTACAGTTTCATGGACTATGCGCATGACCTAGGGACCTAGACTACAACAATCTGTTTTAAGAAGGTAATTTAGCAAGCAACTCCTTCCCCCTCTGCCTCACCTTTCTTCCGCTCCTGCATTACCTTCCTTCCCCTTCTGCATTACCTCCCTTCACGATCTGCCTCGCCTTCCTTCCCCTTCTTCCTTACCTCCCTTCCCCTTCTTCCGTACCTTCCTTCCCCTTCTGCCTTACCTTCCTTCCCCTTCTGCCTTTCCTTCCTCTGGCGATGTGCCTCACCTTCCTTCCCCCTCTGCCTTACCTTATTTCCCCTTCTGCCTTACCTTCCTTCCCCTTCTACCTTACCTTCCTCCCCCCTCTGCACACTACCGTCCTTGCCCTCTGCCATCACTCCCTTTCCCCCACTGCCAGCACCTCCCATCCCGTGCTGCCAGCAACTCCCATGCAGCCTACACCTCGCCTGCCTTGCACCCCATTTTTTGTTGCCTCTCACACAATTTTCCGCAAAGCCACCTTTCATCTTTGTTTGTCATACTGTTTTCTCGCCTCCTTCCGAAAGGCATGTATTCTCTCCCACTTCCTACCTCCAACCCTACCCCCTTTCACCCTCCTTCATTTCCAACCCCTCTCCACTCCTTTCCCCCTGCTGCCCTTGATTTCCTCTCATGCCTCCCCTCTGTTTCCCCCCTTCCATCCTCTTCTCTTCATTTCCCTCCTCAACCCACCCCATTCCAACCCATCCCTTTTGTCCACTTCCCTCACCTTCCCTTCTTTACTGTTTCCCTCTCTCCTCTCCCCTTCCCATTGATACTCTACAATTCCCTCCACCTCACTCCTCTTCCATCTGCTACCCCATCCCCTTCCTAAACTCTTCCCTTCCCTTCCATTCCGCTCCTTTTACTGAACCCTCCACCCCCCTTCCATGCCCGGGTTAATCCTACCCCTCTCTTCTTCCCTTCTTCCCCTTCATTCCCATTCAGCGCCATTTAATTTTCCCTTGTCTCCACGTTTCAGGTCTCCGCGCTTCTGTTCCCCATCCATTCCCGTTTATCCGCTTCTGTAACCACGCCTTATACCCCCTCAGCTCCTTCCCTGCCCTCCCTTTCCCATATGCTCCCTTCCCATTGCTTCCCTCACGAAACCGCCCCTTTCAGATCCTTCCCTCCTGTTCCCTTTCTCCGCCTTCACTTCCCTTTTGGTTCCTTTGGATCTCTTACCTTTTCCTGCCTTCGTTCCCAGGCCTGTCCCCCCTCTAAGCCATTTCAAGTCTCTGCTCCCACTTCCTTCTCTTCCCCGGCGGCGCCCATTTTCCAGCAGCGTTCACCGGCGTTCTGGGTGGGCAGCATCCAGGGCTGTCGTTTCACTTTAGGGCCCCCTGATATCGGTAAAAAAAAATTCCCTGGATAATGAGTACATATTGTTCAGGAGTTTGCCACCCTGATGGCTCAGGGCTCAAGAACTAGTCACTCTGATTTGTCAGGGTTGACAGCCTAAGTTCAGGGTTGTGGTTCAATTTTTTTTTTGATTACTGCAATGTACAGCATGTAACAACTTCCTCCTCCTACATTGTCTACTCTAGTGCACAGGCCTATCGATGTGGAACACCTCCTCCACATCCTCATCGTCCGAAAGGAAGGGGTTGTCCTCCTCCTCCTCCTCCCCCACAAGCTCCTGATCGTCGCCCATTACCTGCTCCACATCACACTCCTCCTCCTCCTCCTCCTCCTCCTCCTCCTCCTCCTCCTCCTCCTCCTCCTCCTCCTCCTCCTCCTCCTCCCCGTCATTTTGGTGGGCAGCTCCTGCTTCGACTTCACCCTCCTTTGCTTTCCCCCTCCTTTCACGCTCAGCCACAGCAAGCTTCACGGTCTTTGCGGGGCGCCTCCTCCTCATAGACCTCCAGACCTCCAGGGCGTCAGGCCACTCGATGTCGTACTTCAGTAGCGAAATCTGCATCAGCTCCCCCAGCCGCGCGTTGCAGAGAGCACCGCGCACCCAAGACTTGATCACATTTTGCCTTGAAAATCCTCTCTCGCACTCCACAGTTGACAGGGGGAGCACCGCGATCGCCTGCCACATGAGGACGAGGTTGGGCCATCTCCTGCCAGGCACATTGTCGGAGACGGAAGGGAAACAGAGTTATAACATCCCAAAAATACATTCGCCACCCCGCTTGGCATACCGTGCTGTTACACTACAGGGACATACCTCTTCGAGTCTGTGCTCCCGAGAATGTTGGACAGTCCCTGCGTGAAGCTTTCCAGCTCGTGGTGCGCCTCCATGATCGCGCAGAATGTGGGAAGCTCTCTCTCTGCGGCCTTGAGGTCGAATCCCGGCAGCTTGTGGCGGAAGAGTTTGCTGCATCCCAGAAGCCACTCACGGCACTTCTTCTCCCGTTGAGCCTTGATTTTCGGCCAATTTCCTGAACGAAACAGCTTCGTCGGCCCCAGCTTCCCCAGGTCATCAAGCCGTTCGTTGAGATTGCCCACGCAATCGCGGGCAAAACTGCGGCACAGCTTCACGCAGTCCTCGTACCCGCTCCCCACCTTGTGCCCCGGGAGCTTCCGCTCGTGCATGGTGTACATATGGTTGACTGGGCGTCCCTCCCCGTCCACGCCTCTCACACGAACCTTCTTGCCTCCACCATGCCCGTACAGCTTCAGAAAGCCGACCAGCCAGCACTTGCCCTCGCCCCCGAATTGCTTGTCGGTATCCAAATACCGCTCCGTCAGATCCGCCGTGGTGGCCTCGATGGTCTTGGAAATCTCCGTCACATCAATCTGTAACGACACACATACCGGACAGATTAGGCAACATCCAACACTTACGGGAAAGTAGACAGTGGACGTGGCGTCTTCGCGGAATGTTCAACTAACTCACATCACGCTTCTGGAAACAGCGGTTGAGGTCGTTCATGTCGGCGAGGATGTCGGCCAGGAAGAACAGGCAGAACTGGAACTTGTAGCACGTAACGATCTCGTACACCTTGTGACTCCTCTCCCAGAGAAGAACGATACACGCACCGAGCACCTTGCACAGCCGCCTCACCGCATCTCTGCGCGACAGCCAGCGAACCGTGTGGATCCCCTGGACTTCGAGGTTAGTGTTGTAGATCACACGCTGCAGGTACTTGAAGCGTTGGCTCCAGAGTGACGAATCTCCAAGCTTTGCCGCCACGGTGCGCACCACCTTGTCCACCATGCCCAGGTCGGGGTTGGACGTCGCCGCGTCCTTAACAGCCAGCGCCTCCCTGCAAAACTCATAATAGATAATTTTAGATTAGCAATCACATTGAAGTGGATCAATAACTGGATGGTACATCTTACCGGTGCGCGATGCAGTGACAGGAAAACAGATGCGGGACGTGCTCCCTGATCCGCGCCACCAATCCATTGTCCTTCCCCATCATGACCGAAGCCCTGTCCGTACTCATTCCGACAAGCTTGGACACGTCGACGGCCGCTGAGCGCAGATGATTCATGAGCACCTCGAACAGGGACGCAGCATCACACTTCTCCACAGTCAGAAGGGTGAAGAACTCGGTGACGACTCGGCGCTCCTTGATGAAGGTCAGGTAAACAATCATGTGTTTACCACGCGTTCGGTCGGTGCTCTCGTCGCATTGAAGGCCCAGGAATGGCGAGGAGTTGATGTGGTCCATTTGCACATTCGTCAAGTACGTACTGAGGCAGTGAACCATCTGCTGGAAGCCGTACCTGCGCAGGGATGCATGTCAACTAGTTAATCACCAGTGGAAAATTAGTTAAATGAACGCAATCAATACAGCAAGATGGTTAATAAATTGCCCTACCTTGTAAGATAGACACCATAAGACTGCCTCGGGATGTCGGGCGTGTCCTGCTCCGCAAGATGCCGCATCAGCCTAGGGTACATGCTTATCGGCGCGTCGCACTTGCACAGAAACACAACAGACCGCAACAGTCGGACTGCGCGCCTGCCCTCGACGTCCGAGTTGATGAAGTTCGAAATCACTTGCTGCCCCTCGCGGATGCCCTTCGCAATCTTCAGCTGCCGATCAACAGCCGCTGTGTGCGCGTCCGTGTGCTCGTGTGCTTGAAACGCCTGCGTCTGCAGGTCACGGCCTCCGTCATCACCCTGCCTCGCGTACCTTGTGTTCTCCTTCCCGTAGGCCATGCAGACGCTGCACTTCACATAGGGGAACCCCTCCTTGGTTTTCCCGAAGACAAGCCAAGAGAACTGTCCCGACCACCTCGTATCGTACATGATGCTGGCCTCCAGGTACATCTGCTCCCGCAGTTGCGCCTTGGTGAGGGCGGGCGAGCCGGTGTCAGCGCGGATCGGGAACACATCTTCCTCTGGCGGTGTGAGAGTACGACGGCTTATGCTGGCTTTGCTAGCTTGCCTGGACTTTATTATGCTATATCTAGCTTGGGTTTATTTTATCATGCATAGATATGCTTGATTTCCTAGGTTAGGTGCATTCCTATATGTTATTATAGTTATAGCACCGAACCAGGTTACGTGTACCGAACTCAAGCCTATTCGGTTTCCACCGAATTGCTTTCTACTGAGTTCGGGAAGGTTCTGTTCGGGACACTTCGCGACCCTCAGAACATTCGCGTAACACCTGGGTTACCTGCCTTGTGTCGAGCCTATATGCCTCGTGTTGTACCCAGGTGAATGATTCAATTCAAACCCACTTTTCATAGCTCGATCCTAGATCCTCACACTTGGTAATCAGAGCCCGGTTACACGCGAAGTTTTTCGACCGCTAAAACCTAGTTTTTAAAACCGCGGGGGCGACGACGGAAAGCGCCGATTTCGGGTACGTAAACCAGTTCCGCGCTATTTTTTAACGTCCCCCTCGAACCGGTTTTCGAACACTCCTCAGGTCCAGTGGCGAAAAAGTTGGAATTTCGACCGTCAGATCAATTCGAATCTCAACGGCCCTGAGAATTTCGCTCACAAAGGTTGGAATTTGGAGCGTCGGATCGAATTTCTTCTCAACGGCCGAGATCGGAGGCGAATTTCGACTTAGGGAGAATCACGCGACCTACAGAAGCAGCGCTCGTCATTTCTACAGTCGATTCGACTCGCAGTGAGTGGACCAGCGCCTAGAAATCAATTTCTTTCGTCGCAAATCTTCTTGTAAATCGCCAAATGGAGGAAAACGGTGATAATTCCGTACGAAAAATTACGGAGTTACACACCGACGTGGACCAGACGCGAGCGGCACTCCAGCGAATAGAGGAGCTTCTCGCGAACCAGTCGGCAGCCGCCACGGCAGCTGCGAACGCAGCGGCGAATGCAGCAGCGACGTCAGCAGCAGCAGCGGCTACACCGACACTTCACCCAGCAGCAGCGGCAGCAGCTACAGTGAATCTTGAGGCGGCACGTCCGAGGCTACCGGAGACATTCAATCCGAATTCTAGAGACACCGACGTCCGTCGATTCATTGCGACCCTCGAAATTTACTTCAAGGCCGTTGGCTGTACGACCCCGACACACGATGCAATGCGGATTCGGCTCGCAGCGACACTGTTACGAGGCCCGGCGCTCGAGTGGGTTTACAACAGCAATAAGATCCGAGGAGACGGGTCATGGACGCAGTTTCGGGAAGCTTTAATTCAACGTTTCGAACCAATCAGCTCCAGCTACATGGCGCGGCAGCAGATTCATCGGCATAAACAGTTCGGCAGTGTAACACAGTACACGCAGCAGATGGAGAGCCTCTTCAACCGAATTACCGACCTGACCGAAGGGGAAAAAATCCAAGCGTATACTGAGGGGCTAAAGATGGAAGTCCGCCGACAGGTGATTGCCGCGAAC